TTTCAGCTGATTTTTACAGTGTTAACCCGTTGGTCAATAAAAGACAACCAAGGGAGACAACAACTAACAAGTTTCTGTTGAAGCTGTTATGAACTACTCAATTCTAGAAATGGCTCTATTCTGAGTGTGTCCACGAGAACACTTTTCAAACGAAAAACTAAAACCAAGCGATAAGGAACTAGCTGTAATGATACATATCGTTGCAGAATTTTTTTCTCAGCACTTTTTCGGTAAATGTGAAACAGTTTTTGTCAAAATTCAAAGAAATTTTGCAGTGCAACCGTTAAAATAAACGCCATGAGATTACTCAAGAAACAGTAGACTGTCATTGTCCTACGTTCTTAAAGAACTGCTCAGCATCTACTGCAAAATTCTTGCTTGGTAACGAATGAGTTACAAGAAAAAAACCCCTAACTGAGTGCTTACACTGTATTTTGATAAGAAAAAAGAAGGTCCACTGATTTGGAGTCCAGAAGCAAACAAGAATATAAGTAAAACTCTGTCAAATGCTCTAAGCAAAAGGGGGTTATGCATCTGTTAAAAGTTTTGTGAAAATATGATGACAAAACTTAGTGATAGAATATCAACCGCGTGGTTACAGTACGGAGACATGTGTTACTTATTGCAGATTTTAAAGAACAACCTGTAACATTTTTTAATTCTTTGCTTTCTGGTTCCACAACAACGTTTCCGTCGGTAAACGAAGAACTTTGATGCGGGGCTATACGGATGGACCATGACGGATAGCTTTTTAGGTTTTCATCTTAAAAAAAATTATTCAGTGTTGAAAGGTAGTTCCAGAACTTCGTGTTTTTCACCAATTATCACATAGAATTAAAAGAACTAAAATACTTTTGCTATTTCTTTAATTTCTCAAAAATAATTTCTTTTGTTAAACTACATGGCAATTCGGCTTCTAAAATTGACGACAATTCCTCTAACGGTTTCATAATTGTTTTTTTTGGAGGGTCGATGTTCAACATTGCATCGCCATCGACGATAGTGCGTCTGCGGGGCATTTCAATGGACGTCGATGCAGTTAACGCTACTAAAGTTTCATTTGGTGATCCGGGTGGCGGAATCATGATTGATTGAGAGCTATCTGGCTTTGCCGTTGTTATCTCCTGAAATGTTAACAGCACGAATCATTCCTTTGTTTTCTACAACAACTACGATTAGTTACTATTAAGCCCAGGTTTATAGTTGTTGGTTGCCAGCACTGAAGTGTTGTTTAATGTAAATTACTTAATTTGGTTTTACTCTGCAAACAAGAAAAATGTAGAGGCTCAGTGAGTATAGACTTAATCAAAATATAGGGTTTAAAAAGTTCTACCATACTTAGGAGTTAAACAATTCAGCTGTCATTTTATCTTTTTAGCGTTATTTTTCTTTGCAGGTAAAATTTAATCCTTCAAAATTTTTGGGGAAAAAAATCGTAACTACAAAGTAATTACAAAGTGTATTTTTTGTATGCAGTAAACTGAGAGGCCTTTTTTTTGACATTCACAGCTGCACCTTTTTTCTGTTTTTACATGAGGATGAGGGAGAAGAAGACAATAAGAAAGCAGACGAACGGTTTCGTTTTTATTTACCGTAAGTTATATTTTGGTTTGAAAAAACCTGTTGTATAAGTGTGTTTGCAATTGTTCCAAATAATGCAGTTACAAGCAAAGCAACAAAAATATTTACGGAAAATTTGTATCAGACTCTAATGACAAAAAATATAAACTTTAAAAAATTGAATACTGATTAACAAGAACATGAGGTAATGAGATGCATCAAGTGAAATCAACAGTTATCAACTTTTGTTAAACCAAAAAGTGAAAAAAATTTGTTTAATACTTAGAAGTTGTGTAGAAAGTTAATTCAGTTTTTTTCTAAACTTTATTTTCAAAACGTTTTTAACAGTAACGACGGAACTGAGTGTTTTTGGGGTTTGAAACGCTCTATTTCTTTCCGTTTTTTATTGCAAAATTTTTATCCTCATCGTCATCACCACCAGCGACATCTTATTCTTCTCTTTATTTTTTTTTACCGGTTCAACTTTCCGTTTATTTTTCATTATTTAGGCAATCACTTTTTTCGCCCTTAGTTATGCTCTAATTTTTAATATTCTTGTAGGTAATCAAAAAAAAAAA